GACACTGTGTTCTTTCCTTCTGAAAAGAGGTTAACTCCTTGAGAGCTTAAGTATTGCTAGAGCATGAGCACTGAATAGCAATAATAGCATCCAGGGAATGCAGGACATCTGTACTCAGTGCCCTGCAGTACTGTGCCTCATTAAGGAACGAGTTTGCAGTTCTGTCCAGCATGGTGCTATGCTGGCCAATGCAGAGGAACAGACTTGGATTGTGAGGTCACAGATTGCTGAAACAGGGGCTTCCCCACTTCTTTAGAAACAGGTATGTTGGTGGGACTTAAGAGAACGCAGCACTTTGTATACATGTTAGCATACTATAGAAAGAAACTGTTGCTGTGGATCTTAGTATACACCACTATTTCTGAACAAACTTGTATCACCAGATGTGGGAGTGTTCTGGAAGCTATCTGATAACAGAAAACTGGTCAGCCCACTTACTGGTCCTATAAGATGACAGGTTTGACAGATGCCCTCACTATAAAAGAAATCTCAGTGCTGCCCCATAACTGTATCAGCAGCTGCAGCTTTGAGAGCCCTAAAGTCAAAGAAACTCTCCAAGGAGACCTGCTCTCAGCCACTTGTATGCAGACTTGCAAGGAAAAGAAGCCACAGCTAGACAGTGGAAGGTGTTGGAAAATAGCAAGACAGACCACAAAAAGTCTCACAAGACTGAACCCCCAAAGCAGGGTTAACATTATTCATGTTCATATTCATCTGTCTGAAATGGACACTGTCTAAAACCTCAGCAACCCTTTCTAAAAAACTGCTTGGGGGAAAACTATGAAGAATGCAAGTCTCTCTCAGCCCATGGCAACAAGCCCAATGGAACTAGGCAGCAAAAGAAAGTGTGTAGATTACCCAATAGAGCCTGTTGTTTATGAAGAACAAATCACAGCAGGTTAAGTGCAGCATGGAAAGGGAATGGCATTTATGCAAAATACAGCTTAACAGCAAAAAGGAGAGAGCAAGTCTTGGGAACATAAACAGGTTTTAGTCATGTCCGATTTTGCACAACAGTATATGACCTCAGTTATACAATTAATCAAATTACTCATATCAAACATTCTTATGTTGTGAATAACTCCAATTTTATCTGCAGGCTTATATTACTGTGGGCTAAGTGCAGACAGCTTTTGTTATAGGAAGTAATATTCCTCACACAGTCTGAAATAAAGAAATAGCAATTCCAGAGTAATTAATCAGGTCTGCTTCCATTTACAGTCAACCCATCATGCCTGCAATACCACCACCCTCTTCTGTGCTGCAAATCCACACCACACTTAGGTGTGTAAGTAGTGCTAAAAAGGGATTTGGTAATATCTTTGCAACACACAAACTCCCAAAAATAAGGGAAGCAGCAGACATGGTACACAGCAACAGTTGCAAAAAAACCCAATGAATCGACAGGTGACTGCTCTTCTTGCAGTGCACAACTCATTATAACTGACTATGCCTAGGAAAACTGGCCAAACACACCTGAGTGGGTGGCAACACTTAGTCTAGATTTTACAGGCAATGAAAAAAGATTGCACAAGAGTTTAAGACACACAGGATGTCTCTCATGCAGGGTTTAAATGCAAGTAAACCCAAGATTTTTCTTCAGGCCCTCCTTTCATTTACCCTTGTTACCACATCTAATTGTGGGGTCTGAGAGCCAGCTGCCCAGCAGGGATGCAGAAGGAGGTGAGACAAGCACCACCTCCCCTCTGCAGCCACTGCCCCATGTAGCACATGCTGCCTATCACAGAACAAGAGTAGCTATGTTGTCTTCACCATCCTACAGACCCATCCAATTCGTGGTGGATCCAGCCCCAGAATTCACAGTTCTGTACTGCATGCAATGCCAGTAACAGGAAAGGGCAGATGTAAGGTCCTTTCAGAGGAACCAGCTCAGTGCTGCTTTCAGTGTTCACCCATACTGACTGCAATTTAGTTTATGATCAAGAGGATAATGAAGAAGAGCAACAATTAAATCTGGCTAAGACCAAGCAGGTTCTGTGAACCTAGAGTTACAAATGCAGCTCCCAAACACCTGCACTGCTCATGTTTTGCACTCCTGCAAAACCTTCAAGAATTTCCAACACTTAAACAAAACTAGATCATCTGGAGTCTGACAGCAAGGATGATGATGCAGGCTTGAACACCTACAAAAACAGAGACTCAGCTCAAGACTCAAAAGCAAGTCTTCCACATCTTTAGTGAGTGCTATAAGAATTAAGACATTTGTTATTCTAAATATATGCAAGTATCTTTGTTTCCTCTAATCAGATTTTTTTTTCTTCAATCCAAAATATTCCTCCAGTAACAGTTACACTGAAGGCAGGAAGCTGTTGAAAAAATTTCCCCAGCCAAATCTACACACAGAGTATGCCCTACTTATGCCCTTATGCATCTGATTAGATTCTTGTTGGGATGGGGATTCAAAGTTGAAGAGCATGGTGGGTATCTCCCCTAAAAACCTTATTGAAAGATGCTACTCTCTTCTGGACTTCCCAACTAGATTTTGGAGTTTGGATGGAGCAACTCTCTGGGTCCTGAAGCAGAATAAGCTAACAAGTTCAGAGCTGATTTCAGCAAGACTTCAGGGACTTCAATAACTGGTCTACACAGCTTTCCTGCAGACCAGAACCTGGGGGTACCAATTCTCTGCACAAGAGATGCAGCATCCAAAGAACCTCCACCAGATGAGATCTATTTATGAGTTGCTGGAATCAAAACCTGTTTAGACTGTTCACCAAAATTCTAATTTTTATACATAGACCAAAAGCAAAGTTTAATTAAATTTGGACAAGAAGCTAAAACAACTATTTGTCTCAAATGCAGGTTGAAACCAGTTAGATTCCTCAGACATTGTTTTTCATTCATAGCTTATGCAGGGACAATGACCTTAAATGCTGCAATATCAATTATTAAGCTGGTTCTTGAGGTATGTGGAATGTGAGGTATTTTTACAATCCAAGGAGTGATATGAATTTCAGTTAATTCCTGCTACAAAGGGATCAGAGACTTCCTTCATCCTGCCAGGTAAAACAATAGCATTTTAGTGTTCACAGATAGGACTGAACAGAGGAAAAAATGTAAAATACCTCTTGGCCACCAGCTGAAAATACACTATTTTTGACAGCAATTTCATGCTGCCCCTCCACTGGCAACTCAGACTGGCCAGAGAATGTGCAGAAAGGAGGCCCAGAAATTGCTCAGCGTTCCAGACACCAGCCCTAGCCTTCCAAGTAAACCTGCCTGAAATAAAGCTTTATCAACTGCTCTCAGTCCAGCTTATTAGGATAAAAATTTCACATGCACCCCCAACTGTACTCTCCAAGAGACTGATGGGACATCTGAAAGACACTGGGAAGTCAGTTTTCCTTTTTTATTTTAACTCTAAAGTTTAACACAGAACACGTAGTTGGCCCACTGTTAGGTTTTTATACTTATTCCCCTCCAGTGCCAACATAACCTGAGTAGCTCTGCACAAAATCAAATTTCAGCAACTGAGTGTTGTTCAACTGCTAAAAACTGCAGTCACCTTCTCTTACCCCCACTTTCCCATGACTGTCCACACTATACACAAATATGATGCTGCTCCAAAGTAGCACACAAAGTTGGCAGGATGGATAGAACTCTTCCCACTTCACCATTAAAGAACAAAAATGAAAACACTCCCACACACCAGATAATACAAGGGTAAGGCTGAGAGGAAGAATAAAAACTTTCTTGGTAGGTTATCACAAAAAAAAAATCTTTCTTCTCCTCTTCCCCTAGGCATCACAGTGTTTGAACCAACCCCAAAGCTTTGTCTTTCTCATCTTTTTGAAGCCAATATTGATTATATTTTGGAATTATTTTTTCACCTTCGAAAGACTTTGCAAACAATAGTGAATGAATCCTAAGATTTCTGACACACAACATTGCTGGAGGAGTACTAGAGGCAGGGAAGCTAAAGCAAAAAAAGGTTGTGATATACATGAAAAGTTGACAAAGGTCATTGGGATTGCAGGATTTTGCCTTTTAAGATGCATGCCAAACTGAGCAAACATACCCCTACTACCTGTTAGGGATCTGCACTTGAGTGATTTTTAACATCCAGTTCAGTTAGCACTGGGACACTACTTAATATGCCAGTGGTAACAGAACCATGCATCACTCTTTATTTCTATCCTACCTCAGCAAATTACTCTTCTTCTCAGAACCTCCTTCATAAGTGCTTTCTTTTTGCCCTAACTACAACTTCTCTAGAATTCAGTAGGACCTGTCCCAGTCCAGCTATTTCTGAAGGATGCTTAGTGACCAGAACTGACTATTCATTTTTCACAGATATTAAAGGTCAAGAAACCATAAATGTGCTCCTGCTATCCCTGCCTGGATAATTGCTTCTCAAGAGAAGCAGCATTACAAAACAGTCTGCAATTCCAGCACATCATTCAGTTCCAGCAAAAATTAAAAACCCACACAAGGCAGTCTTGTCACCTCTCTGCCAGACTCTCAAACCACAACAGGGCACAGAACAGGAAACCAAAGTCTGTCACCACCAAGTACCCTGCAGAGGGAAGAGGCTCAATAGACCACTCCTTTTTGCTGGGGTAGATGAAGTACAAGTAACAGCTACAGAAGCTTGGTCCACCCTGTTCTGTGTGAACCATGGCTCTCCTTGCAGCTCACCTTCAGGGAAAATTCACTTCCCCTACAACTTGTTTTTGTTTCTGCACTATGCTGGACATTGATTCCATTTGTTTCTGCATTTCATTTGCAACTGCATGTGCACCCATGCTGGTTACCATTGCTACATTGGAGGTGGATGGCATTCCATATGTATGTGTCTTTTAAGGTACAGTGACCAAATCAAAGCTTCCAATTAGTTAAACAAGTCCCTGCTTTCAACACTACCACCTGAGCAACTGCATGTGCACCCATGCTGGTTACCATCACTTGGCTCACCCCTTAACAGTGAGTCTCCTGCAGCCACTGGCAGCTTGGCTGAAGGAAACCAACAGAAGTTTTACCTGTGTGAATGATCCATCCTCATTGCATTCTGGGATGAAGACTGCTTCCTGGGGCTTCTTTGCCTGTTCCAGTGCTTGAGCTCTCTCTAACCGACACTTGCTTTGGCCCACATCTGCAAAGGGAAAAGCAAACCCCACTTAGATTGCAAATACCATTTGGCCTCTTCAAAAGCTACCAGATGCACCATGCAGCTTTGGGAGTAAGGAAAAATCCCAAACAAATACAGGGTATCAAGGACCATTACCTGCACATTAACAAGGCAGCTGTGGAGTTAGCATTCATGATCCCAAATACAAATATAAACCCAGACAACCAAACTACAAGCCAGCTAATGAGCCTAATGTCCTAGGCAACAGTCTTTATGGTCATCCAAGTCCTCTGGAAGGTTTTTCCAGCAAGTGCTGGAGCACAATGTCCAGGAAGTGAAAGGCCTTCCTGAGGGGAGTTCTGCTTATATTAACAGCCTGAGACTGGGTGGCTGAGCATAAGCCAAGTAATTCAGGCCCAGAAGTGAGCCATGTGGAAGAAAGGATGGCCCCAGCAAAGCTTCTTCTCTAAGCAACTCTCCTAGAAAGATGCTAAAATAACCAGCCACTTATCTGAACTTCCACCTTTATTATGTCAGATAAGGTATATCTGCCATTGCCTGCAGTTACCTGAAGCCCAGATTCTGCCTCTAGTCCCAGTGCTTACAGCCAGGTGTGCATTATACTTTCTCAGGTCAGTTACTTTGCTGCCAAGAAAAAAAGATTGCTCTGCAAGCAGAGCTTGAAGGGGTTAAGATCTCAGCTCTGCACTTATTTCAGATGGTGGCAGCATGTGGTATGAGTTTAACCCTTTCCAGGTCCAGGTCACTTACAGAGTGTAGACCCAGACAAGTCTAACACTGATGACTGATGAGTCAAAGAGGAGAGTTCTGCCCCTGCAGAGATAGAGATTGACTCAGTGTTTACACTTAAAAACATGTCTAACAGTACTGCTCTTCAGTCCAGAAAGAAGAAAAACAGCAAACATCTGTTGCCATGAAACTGAGAGAAACCAGCAGCTTCTTCCTTTTCCCATTAATCTACTGACTGAAAGATTTTCAGTGCAGAAATTGCAAAACCTGACCATCAGAATCTTTCAGCAGCATCAGAGTGATCAAGGTTGAATCCCCATTCTACCAGGTATGGAAAATACATGGGTTAACAGAAAAATTCCACTAGATCCCAGAAGATCCCATATTCCACTTCACAGATCTCATGAACTTCAACAGAATCAGTAACACTGGCACAGAAATTAGAAAGCCAATCTGGGTTCTCAGATCATATGAACTCCTATTGCATGGCAATAGAAGCCATTTCCATCTAAGCACATCTAGATGCAGAAACCAATGACAGTGCTGTAAATAGTTTCAAGAAAGACAGACCAAAGCTTTCAAGCCAAATACTTTATTTACACAACTGATGACTCAAGAGATTAAGTTTCCACTTTGCCAACAGTTTCATTTTAAACATATCACATGACTCCCCAAGAAGTATTTCACAAGCCTTCTAAAATTATGAAAATCAAACCCTTCTCTTTGGAAAAAGTCATTATTCATGACAATAGTACTCAGCATAGATGCCTGTAGCTTAGGCACTGGGTTACAAAGCTAGAGGGCCTGTGTCAACTCTGCCACTGACCCATTGAGTGACTACAGGCCTGTCACCTTACCTTCCTATGACCTTGTGTCCCTTCTGATCCTATGTCACTCATCTTCAGGCTGCAATTTGTTTGTGGGATGTTTGCTCAATACCCGTAGGACATGAAGCTTTGATCTCAGGTAGACTTGTTATAAGCTTATAAAGAGCAAGGCTATTACTCACAGAATGAGAAGACAGATAAATTTACACCAAAGTTAGTGACTTTTTTCTAATTAGCCATGATATAACCTATAAGCTAGAATTTTCCTTTTTTCCCTGCTGCTTGCCAAGGTGACTATATGATCAGGCCTTATTTGCACAGCTCCACTGGAGGACAGTCCTGACAGAAGTACTGACCATTCCAACACACACATTCTTTCAGCTGAAAAGGAAGCATTGGCAATGCTGTTAACTGGAACACTTAGCTGTCACCTGCAGATCTGCTCAAGCTTGAGAGTTCAATCTTGCTTCGCATGACATAGGACATCATTACAAAACCAGATGGTGTGGGGGCACCTTCTGCTTTATAGCTAGCTGTCTGACTAAAACCACTTTCAAGTTCTGCTTCACAGGAGATAAGTAGAAAAAAAATCAGAGATTATGCAGATGTGCCTTTGTAAGGAAAGAAAAGTTGTGAATTTCTCATTTGACAATCAAAGCATAGACTCACAAAAACAAATGTGTTATCTATTCTCTTCATCTGAGGATACTGGACTGCAGACAGGCATATCTGCTTCCTTTCCTGAACCTGAAACAGGAGCATAAAGCATTTTCACACAACATCTACTTCAGTGCTGGCACACTCAACTACACAACTGAAACTGGACGCTCAGCACATAGCTGGTAGGAACAAACATTGTGGTGTTCCCTGCAGTACAAATACAGGAGGAGCCCCAGCAGAAGGGAGATGTAACTCAGATCTGTCCAATTTGTCTAATGAGCAGACAAACGTGCACACAATCAAGCCCTGACTATAAGAAGATAATACACCCATGTTACTACTAAAGTGACTGTGTCCCTTCTGGCAATTCTAACAAGCCTTTATAAATTGAACTCTATTCTACCACCCAGTAGACCACACTGTGAAGCACACCGCAGCACTTAAGAGCTCATTGTTGTTGCAGCATCCTCTTTTGCAATTCAACCCTTGGCTCAAGTGATGTCTCTCCACCAACTGCAGTGCAGAGAAGACTTTCTCCTGTTCTTGAATACTCAGCCCAATTTACTTCTTCCATCCTCCCTTGTTGATTTCCAAAGGTCATGGCAGTCCTTTTACAGCCTTGACTTGGAACAACCACCTATATACTGACTGCTGGAGAGGTGTGTGCATACCCCTATCTTTTTTGTCTGTCATTTCACAGTTCAGTTCCAGTAAAAACAGTGCCTTTAATATCAACATTTACCAGTTTGTTTTTAAAAGGACTACCAATCCTTCTCTTCCCCACTCCACAGGCTGTATTTTTATAATGTTTGCATCAGCATGTGATTTCAGTGGAATGACTTCACCTTGTTATTTTTTGCTTTGTTAATTATAAAATGTAATGTTACATAAGTGCCAAGTATTAAAAAGTAGCTGCCAAATAGTTCACCTCAAATAAGATTCCTTACAAATTTTACTAAAGCCTGATGTTATTATATAGATTCATATATGCTATTCTGCATTTTAATTGTTTACCTGAGTGTTTCAGCACTTTCTTCCCTCTTAAAAATGTTCTCTGGAGTATCAAACACTAAGCTTCTAAAGCATAATGCCATTAGTGCATTCCAGTTTCACAGTCCAGACAGACTAAACAGAACTTTCTCCCTTCCATTTCTGCCTTACATAAGGTGAAAAACCAAAACAGGATTACTTTTTTGGAAAAGCAAAGCTGTTTAATAATTTGACTTTACATTTCTTCAAACTTTGGACAGATTTACTGCAGCTCAGAAAATTGCCTTTTAAAGAAAATTCATTCTCAAGCTGGTAGCTAGCAACTTGTAGACTCTGAACTAAATGTGGAATTCTTGACATCTGTGGCCTAATCTGCAGAATGCAGGTGCACATAATTTTGAATTTTGCAATGAAGTTGGCTAGTTACCATGCCTGATCTTATCCATGAACAGTTTATTCAAATGAGACCATATTCCTCATAATATATGGAGTGCACTTCTAATGTGTCCCAAGAACCCCAGTAGCTTCTCTTCAGAGGCCATTCTGACACCACACAACATCATCATAACAAGACCCAAGCCAAGCTAATAAGATAAAGTAAAAGATTTCCAGGGATCAACATAAGACTAGCAGGAAATTTGTACACTGCAACCACAAAAATCTAACTAGTTTTAATTCTATTTTGTTTTTATCAAAAGCTGAAAGGGCAAAAATTAATCCATGCAACTTTTAAACTAGTTCCATTAGGTAACTGTCTCATACAGACCAGGTCCTCAGGCATGAAGCAGTCCAGCTACACTCAAGTCAGCAGATTCATATCCATGTACTCCAGCCAACAATCTGTCTTTGCATAGAACAGGCAAAAACGAAACCTGAGCAAACTACAAAAAAGCTAATCTGTCCCACAGAGTGTCAATCATTATCCTGGAATCTCCAACTTCTTCCTTTCGTCCTGACAGGCTTTGCTCCTGGTATGATACTCACGTACCATTTCTACTCCAGAGCTCCCTAACTTGCTTGGAGCATATAAAAAATGAATGAATTTGTAAAGTGATTGGAAGTATAATTTCAGATTTTGCTGACAAATGTCCAGGAGGGATCCACTCTTTC